TGGTGTTGCAGCGCGGGGCGCGTGGCCAGCAATTGTGGCAGCTGGCAGCAAGTGGGCATCAGCCATGGAAGGGGCTGGAGTGGCGGCCCCCTCTTCTCGACCCCTTGCCCAGCTCCACTGCCCACCAGGCCTCTTTTGCAGTGCCCTGTTTCCATCCGCTTTACCACCTGCTCGGTGTTCCAGAGACCAATGGGGACTGCCTTTCCCAGGAGTCTTTCCCGAGCGAAGTCACCCCGATTGTGGCATTTTCTGCCGTGATCTGATTGTATGCCGACTCCAATCTGGGAGAACCGGGTTTGATTCCCCACTCCTCCACTCGCAGCTGCTGGATGACCTTGGGCCCCGCCTATCTCACAGGGTGTCTGTTGTGCGGAGGGGAAGGGAAAGGAGTTTGTCAGCCGCTCTGAGACGCCGAGCGAAGGGTGGAGTATAAAGAGAGCCGTTTTGGTGTAGTGGTTAAGTGTGCGGACTCTAATCTGGGAGAACCGGGTTTGATTCTCCACTCCTCCACTTTCACCTGCTGATGTGACCTTGGGTCAGTCACAAGCTCTGGCACAGCTGTCCTTGAAAAAGAGCAGTTTGTGTCAGAGTTCTCTCAGCCCCACCCACCTCACAGGGTGTCTGTTGTGGGGAGGGGAAGGGAAAGGAGGTTGTAAGCCGCTCTGAGACTCCAAGTGAAGGGCGGGGTATAAATCCAATCTCTTCTCTTCTTCTTCTCTTCTAATCTGGGAGAACCGGGTTGGATTCCCCACTCCTCCACTTGCACCTGGCTGGATGACCTTGGGCAAGCCATAGATCTGGCACAGCTGTCCTTGAAAAAGAGCCATTTGTGTCAGAGCTCTCTCAGCCCCACCTACCTCACCGGGTGTCTGTTGTGGGGAGGGGAAGGGAAAAGGAGTTTGTCAGCAGCTCTGAGACACCTTTGGGTAGTGAAGGGCGGGGTATAAATCCAATCTCTTCTTCCTCCTCCTCTTCTAAATCCAAACTCTTCTTCTTTTTCCGTTCTCCGCGGCTTGCGGGCAGGCCGGAGAGAGTCCTCTGTGCACGCACAGGACTCGGAAGGCCCCTTGGAGTTGCGGAGAGCTGGGTTGCTGGCTCCTGGGGGTACGCCCAGAGCCGTGTTGTGATCCACCTCTCTTGCCTGCCTGCCTTCCTACCTTGGAGGGGCAAAAGAGGCGAGCCAGGGGGTGCTGGCCCTGCTCCCCCTCAGCGCCTGCGCTTCTTGCTGTTCATGTCTCTGCCTCTTCTGTTTGCTCCCCCCCTCCGCGCAGATGGATGCTGACTACGACCCCACCCAGCAGCCTGCTTCTTCAAAAAAGAAACGGAAGGTGGAGATCCCGCTGCTAGGCAAGAAGAAGCGCCAGTCGTGGTTTGCAAAAGCCCTCCAGAAAGAGAAGAAACCCTTTGACCCGGGTAAGGTGGTTCTGGGATCAGACTCGGGCAACGTTTCGGAGGCAGGCGGCAATAAAAAAAGGCAAATGCCGTGCTGGGGGCGATTAGAAAGGGGATTGGAAGCAAAGCAGCCAGTATCGTAATGCCCCCGTATAAATCACTGGGAGTACTGTGTACAGTTCTGGTCACTGCACCTCAAGAAAGATATTCTAGCATTGGAAATGGTGCAGAAAAGGGCAACTAGAATGATTAAGGGACATAAGAACATAAGAGATGCCAATGTTGGATCAGGCCAGTGGCCCATCCCATCCAACACTCTGTATCACACAGTGGCCAGAAATATCAGGTGCCACCGGGAGGTCCAGCAGTGGGGCTGGGACACTAGAAGCCCTCCCACTGTTGACCCCCCCCAAGCACCAAGAATACAGAGCATCACCTGCCCCAGCTTGTGAGTTCCCATCTATACCTTGTGGCTAATAGCCACGGATGGACCTCTGCTCCATAGGTATATCTAATTCCCTCTTGAAGCCGTTCATGCTTGTAGCCACCACCACCCTCCTGTGGCAGTGAATTCCATGTGTTCATCACTCTTTGGGTGAAAAACCCCCCCCTAAGCACCAAGAAGACAGAGCATCACTTGCCCCAGAGCCCCTATCTATACCTTGTGGCTAATGGCCACTGATGGACCTCTGCTCCAGATGCTTATCTAATTCCCTCTTGAAGCCATCCATGCTTGTAGCCGCCACCCCCTCCTGTGGCAGTGAATCCCATGTGTTAATCATGTGTTAATTCCATGTGTTAATCATGTGTTAATAATGCGAGGTGAAGAAGTACTTCCTTTTATCCGTTCTCACGGATGGAACACCTTCCCTATGAAGAAAGGCCAGAGAGGTTAGGGCTCTTTAGCTTGGGGAAATGACAACTGAGGGGGTAAGATGATAGAGGGTTGCAAAATTATTCATGGGATAGAGAAGGTTGAGAAAGAAGTCCTTTTCTCCCTTTTTCCCTTTATGGTGTAAAATATGTTAAAAATTCAAATTTGGCATTTTTCATGCTGAGCTTTTCCTCTGAGGGCCTGTGACTTCCAGATCAGGCACAGCGTGCCCTGGGTGACCGAAAAGGTCTCCCACTGATCTCTTAAGTATTGTGGTTTCAAATGTCGGATCGGAGCCCGTTTTATTCTTCTGAGTAAAGACTGATTTCGCTCGCCCCACACAGGGAGCGGAAGGGCAACATGGGCAAAAGCCGGCACGTATCGTGTTGGTGGATGAGCCAGTGAATCCGTCGGGTATCGTGTTGGTGGATGAGCCACTGAATCCGTCGGGGATGGTGTAGGAGTGCCTCAGAGGATGTGGGAATGAAGTTGGCATCTTGGCTTGGTTTCCAAGGTCCGGCCGCTGGGTGTGTCTCTCTGCTGGGCCGTCCGTTGCCAAGAAGCTCTTTTAGGAGAGGGGCGGCCTGTGAGAGAGAGAGAGAGAGGGATCGTGACCCACCAGCTGGTTGGAGCTGATCTCCTCCTGTGTGCCAAGTTCAGGTCTGCCTTGGCCCAGCTGGGGATCCACACGCCCTCTCCTGGGCCGTAAAGACAGAGGGAAACTCCTTCCAGCCTTCCCGTCATGCTCACGGGGGAGCCCTTCTTAGACCGGGGCGTTTCACAACATGTGTGACAAAAACAGTCGCTGTGTCTTAAGAGGGGGAAGCCCCAAAAGCAGGCCTTTTTGCATCTCTCACAGCTTAACCTTGCCCATAATAAACTTAAAAGAGTTCAATGACGTAGGTAAGAAGCTTTGAGGCCAGCAACCCCCAAGTGGCCCCATGGTGACCCCCAAGGTGTTCTCTGGAACCCCCTCTTGCTGCTTGAGTCTTGGGGATGAAATCTGGAGGGTCTTTAGTAGAAGCAAAAGGAAGGGAAGAGCGAGGGTGGCTCAGGTGGTTAAGACGCTGCACCGCAGGCTGGAAGGTTAGTAGTTTGGCAGTTCGATTCCCGAGTGCCGCATGGCAGAGTGAGCTCCCGTCTCTGGCCCCAGCTCCTGCCAACTTAGCAGTTCGAAAGTAAGAAACTGCAAGTAGAAAAATGGGTACCGCTTCGGTGGGAAGGAAGCAGCCTTCCGTGCGCCTCGGCGTCTAGTCATGCCGGCCACATGGCCACGGAAATGTCTTCGGACAGCGCTGGCTCTTCGGCTTGGAGATGAGCACCGCAACCCTAGAGTTGGATTTGACTGGCTTTCAAGCAAGGGAAACCTTTACCTAAAAGGAAAGGGAGCTTGAGGGGGCTCATCCTGGCAGTTGCCGTATCCGTGTGCCTCCACTTTGGCTGCCGACACAGCCTGCCTCGTCGTAGAAAGACTGTGATAGTAGTGAGGATGTTCTGCTTCTTTGCTACCTGCACACGAAAGTTCACACCTTGGATAAACCCTTGTTGGTCCTAAAGGTGCCCCTGGACTCTAGGTTCATTCTGCTGCCCCAGACAAACCCAGACCTGGAATGACTTCTCTGCTAGTTAGTGTCGCAGCACCTAGTTCGTGGCAGCTCAGCTTTTCAGATTATTTTCATATCTGTTGAACCTAAAGTCCTAAAGCAAGGGTCCCTGAGCGTGGTGCCCACGGGTGCCATGGCCCCTACCGATGCCTTTCCTGGTGCCCAAGTGCTTTTAGGAAGTGGGCGGGGCAAGGAGGGTCTCTTGCGTAGCGGGGCTTCTGATTGACTGTGCAAGTTAAAAGGCGTCCTGTTAAGCAGAGCTCCTGCCTGAAATGCCGACGAGGCACTTTTATCGATAACCTCGCTCCCTGACATCTTGAGGTTGGTTCCGCCTCCCGTGGCAGCCATTTTTGTGATTGACTCCACATCCCGCAGCAACCATTTTGTGATTCTGCTTACCGCCCCGTGTCAGAATTCAAGGGGAGCCCGCAGGGTCAGAAAGGTTAGGGACCCCTGATCTAAATCTCTAACTTCTCAGGCAATCGTTATTAGTTGTGACAATACTGTGAACATTTTTGCTGATCAGATCTCAAAATATGCTCAAGTTTGGATGCCGGCTGTAACATAGTCCAGGCACTAGAAGTGTCGAGTACACTGCCTGGCCAGTCTATGGATCATTTCAGGTTACCTTGATGGGTGTCAACAGGTTCTCGGGGACTGTGAAGGGCACCTCTTGGACTCCTGTCCTGACCCTTGTCCATTGGGGCTCCCATAATCGTGCAAGGAGCTGGTGTCCATTCTCAATCAGTCCGTGACTCAGGGTGTTTTTCCTCAGCCTGGCTAGAGGAGGCAGTTAATCATGACTTTAAAAGCTATCAGTGGAGAAGAGTGCTGTTGACGCACCAGATGGAGAGGTGTTCGAGAGAGTTACGCGTGCATACCCTCTCCCTCCCATGGATCTGTATTAGCACTTGGAGTGGAACGGCCCCGCTGACCCACAAGTGCTGCTGTGTTCAGCCATTTGAGGTCTCTGGGCACCCAGTAACCATCCCAGGTCTCTGCCTGGTGACACACTACCGTCCTGGCTTGGCCAAACCTCAGAGGGATTTCTCTCGCTTTCTTTGGTATGCTGCCACCAACAGGTCCCTTTAGGAGGGCCGGTGCTCCCAGCTTCCCTTCCGCATTGGTGTTCTAAGGCTCTGGCTAGTCCCTGCATCTCCCACTACCAAAGGTCTGGTTAGCATGGGAACAACTTGCCACACTTGTCCATGCCTGGGGAGATAGCAATCTAGCAACCGACTTCCTCCTTTCCCCGGCTACTTCAGCGTCCCTCTACACAGCTCCTTGTCCCGATATTTGCCTTTGCTGTTGTGATCGCTTGCATTGTTTTATGTATCTCTTTACTGTCAGGGACCCTCATTTCATGCGTGGGGAAGGTTCACTGCAGAACAGTATACCCAAGACTAGCAGGGGTGTGTAGTTTGCCGGGGTTCAAAGAAGACAGGACACAAACAGCTTCTGCAGAAAGCTGAATGAATGAATGCTTGAATGAATCCTCTCACTCACCAGCTATATTTATTGAAAATCCGTCTCCTCCTTTCCCCCTCCCTTTCATACATTACAGCATCCTGTCATGAGACATGAACTAAGGAATGTGTGTGTGTTTGTATCTGTGTGTGTGTCTGTGTGTGTGTGTGTGTGTGTACAGGCAGCTGTCTGCTATCTCTCTCTCTCGCAACTCTGCCAAGGCCAAATGACTGCGTCATTAAGCAGTAAACAGATTCCATCTCGGGCTCTCAGTACGTATATACATTTGGGTTCCCAATCTCCAGCCAGGAGAACAGAGCAGTGAATTCTTCACTTGTGCCTACAGGGGTATCAAACTAATTTATTACGAGGGCCGGATCTGACATGAGACCTTGTTGGGCCGGGCCATGTGTGTCATAAAATGTAATGCCAGGTAGCGGACATATAAACTTTATAAAGCACACAAAGATTTTTATTTTTATTTTGGCTTAGAGTAAAACCGTGCTTACAATATTAGCTCTGTAAGCTGCAAACCTGCTTTGGATTTATTGACATTCACCACAGAAATCTCATGCTCAGAGTTCTGAGTCTAGGACCCAGGTTAAAACATGAAATGGCTAAGTGATTAGGAGAGTCTGGCGAAGCAAGCTATGATACAGCAGCTGAACTGGAAGCAGGAGATGGCCAGTTCCACTCTGGGCCCGATGGAAGCCCTCCGGGGGGGTCTGATCCGGCCCCTGGGCCGCATGTTTGACACCCCTGCCCGAGAGAGTGTGACATTCGTAAAGATCCTGATCCCTGTGAAGAACAGAACCTTGACCAGTTCTTGCTCTGAGCCCTGCCCTAGAGAGCCCAGGCTGGCCCGATCCCGGAAGCCAAGCGGGGTCGGCCCTGGTTAGTTCTTGGCTTGGAAACCACCAAGGAAGTCCAGGGGCGCTACGCAGAGGCAGGCAGTGGCAAGCCACCTCTGAACATCAAGGGGTCGCCATGAGACTGCCGTGACTAGATGTCACTTGACTCACACGCAGTCCTTATTCGAAGACGTGGCGTCCAGGCTTTGCTGCTGCCTGCTATTTGATATTCTGAAGACTGGCCCTTCCCTGTTTGGGTGGAATGGACTTCTGGCCTCTATACCGTCTTCAGACTCTCCAGCTTCAAGAAGTAGGAGCTGAGGAAGACTCTGCAGGTGTCAGGCTCCCTAGTCAGGTCACACCACACAGAGCTTCAGAGGAAGATAACTGTTTATTAGTGGTTCCAGTACTAAAGAACACGTGTACAGCTTGTGTCAGGAATAGCCGTCAGTATAAGGGCCTCTGACTTATAGTGAAAAAAAAAACCCCCCCCCCCCCCAATGAGCAAAAGCCAATGATGATACTTCGCGTGGGTGAAAGCAAGCACAGAAGCGGACAAAGCGAAAAGCCATTACTTTCCCAGCCGAGTAAAATGCAACTGGAGACTACAAGGTTAAGCGTGCGATAGCGCACAGTAGCTGGACAGGTAAGAGCTAAGAACGAGGAGGAGGTGCACCCCTCCACATTCCAGATTCATGACAGGGCTACCTGACAGCAGGGCCTCTAGCCGTGTTGATCTGCTAGAGGAGCTGGAGTCACCTTCTGAGTTGAAAGAAAGACACTCTGCCCATGGGTGTGTCGCTAATGGAACATTGGCAGGGTTGCTAACGGGGCAGGAGCTTCAGCATTTGGGTGGATTGGGTGGGCCGAGGGGCCGCCAAAGCGGACCGTCAAGGCCCCGCGTGCCGAAGAAAACACTCTTGGCTGTTTTTGTTCCCGCAGCGGCTGGGACGTTTGAGAAGTACCTGGACGAGTTCTACCGCCTCGACTACGAGGACCTGATCGGAGACATGCCGTGTCGCTTCAAGTACCGCAACGTGCTTCCCTGCAGCTACGGCCTCTCCACCGAGGAGGTAACTATTTCTGCAGGGGTGAGGGGAGAAAGAGAGAACCCGGAACATCCGATGTCCTCCACGCACGAGCAGGGACTGAAAGCACAGAGTCTCACGCAGTTTTCTCTCCTCCCCCCAAAAAAGATCTTGGCCTCTGACGACAAGGAGCTGAACAGCTGGTGTTCTCTGCGGAAGACCTGCATGTACAGGTGAGACGCGGAGGGGAGAAGAGGTGCTGTGGGCAGTGGCTGCCACGGAAACTGGGGGCTGAAGCACATGCTAAAACTGGGGACTCTCCCGGGCTCGAGCGGAAGGTGGCGTGGGGGGGAGGACTCCATGAGAACCACAGCTCACGCTTGAAATTGTGCAAAGAGTTCGCGATTTCTTTGGCTAGTGGTAGTGATCATGAGCGGGTTATGAAGGAAAGGGCTGGCCCTGTGGTCGATGGATAGAAAGGCTGACTTTTGGTTTAGACGTGTTCTCAAGCAGTGCGTCACGAACTGGTTTAGATCAGGATGGGTTGCCATCAGTGCTCCCCTCTAAGCTGCGGAGTCTTGTGAGCAAGAATTGTACTTTGTGAGCTACCGGGTGCATGAAAGTTGTGGGTGAGCGATTTGGCGACTGCATAAATCAGTTAGCTCTGGAGCCCTCCTTCCCGAGCTGAGGCAAAAATCGGTGCGCCGGAGGCTAAAAAACGGTGAGCTCGCTCACACTAACTCAGCTTAGAGGGAACACTGGTCGCCTTGTTAGTCTGTCTGTAGCGGTAGAAAAGAGCCAGAGTCCAGCAGCACCGTACAGACTAACAGAATCTGTGGCAGGGGAGGCGCTTTCGTGCGTCACTTGACTTCGTGCGTCACTTGACAAGAAAGCTCACGCTGTGCGGCCAATGCTCCCTCTAAGCCGTGGAGTCTTGTGAGCAAAAATTCTACTCCGTGAGCTACTGGCATTAAAGTTGTGAGCCAGCGATTTGGCTACTACATAAATTAGTTTCCTCTAGAGCCCTCCTTCCTGAGCTGAGACAAAAACGTGTGAGCTGGAGGCTAAAAAAATGGTGAGCTAGCTCACACTAACTCAGCTTAGAGGGAACACTGGCTGTGCCACAAAAATGTTGTTAGTGTTTAAGGTGCTCCTTGACGCTGGCTCTTAAGCTAGTTTCATCAGTGCACGTTTCAGTTAAGAAAACCGAGCTGGGTGATGGGTCTTCCTCATGGGTGGTGGGATACACAAAGCCAGCAGATTTTTTAGACGTGATTCATAGCCGATGCTGAGCCACTAGTTTGTTCTGTTAACTCTCGGCGGAGGCTGCTGGGGGTGTGTGTGTGTCTGTGTCTGGGTCTTCAGTCACACTTGGGGGGGTTTTGACCGGGGGTGGGGTCTGGTCTCCACGCAGGTCCGAGAAGGAAGAGCTGCACGACATGAGGACCTACGAGGGGAAAGGCCGAAACAACACCTGGAAGAAGCAGCAGATTCTGAAATCCCTCTGGGCAGAGTACGTACGCTGAAGGACTGGGCAGTGCTGGGCACTCCGGGCCGCAGGAGAGGAGGAGGAGGAGTCCCAAGGAATCTAGTTATTAATCTTTTGTCTCAAGTCCTGCTCCGGTCCCCGTGTCCCCCCCTGTCCCCAGGCTAATCTTGTCAGACGGATTGCAAATTCAGACTGCAAATCCAGAAGGGTCTTTTGTGGTGTGGCTGTTGTTTAGCACGGTCCATAATGGGTGAGCGAGTCAAGCCACATGGTACCATGGGGGGGGGGGCGGAAATAAGGATTGGAAACTAATTGGACAGCCCCCTCCTGCCCATCCAAAGAAGTGTCCGTGGCCTTCCGTAGCGCCAGTTTCCAGGGTGCTTTCCCTTTCCCTCCATTCGCTGCTCTTGCTACCTTATAAGTACCCTTTTTGTTCTGCCCCAAGTCGCTGGCTCTTGAGCACTTTACCCACCCAGGCTTCTGCAAGCCCTTGAGGCAGAAGGCAGCAGGCACATCCAGCTCCCGCCGTCCCTCGCCGTTGCCTGCCTTTCACTTTGTGGCACAGTGTAGCACTCTTAAAGAGATCTGTATGTTTCATCTCCTTGCAGCGTGGGAGAAGCCGAGGGCGTCAAGGCGGCACCTCCAGGCAAGAAAGGGAAGAAGAGCCAGGAGAAGACCAAACGTCCAGAGCTGCCTCCTGAAGAGGTGTCCCCCGTCAGTCCAGCTTGCAAGAAAGAGGGGCTCCGGCACCCGAGTGGGACCGCCAGAACGGCTCCAGCTGCAGGCAAGGTGGCCCCGGCGACTCCCTCGGCGGAGCCCGTGCCCCCCGCTCCAGCGCCCGGTCCGAGACGGAGAGGAGGCAGGAAGGGGCTGCTGCTGGGCGCGAAGGTGCGGGTGGGGGGCTCGGAGTTCAGCGGCCACCGGCTCCAGGCCTACGGCCTCAACCCCAAGCGCCTGCGCTACCGCCAGCTGCTCCGGGAGAGACAGAAGAAAAAGCAGAAGCCGCCCAGTCAGGCCGGTGGAGCCAAGTGACACGAGGAGAACTGTTCTGCCCGCCCTGGGGCTGAGAGCAACACCACTCGGACCCCCGGAGGGAAGCAATTGATGCTGTCCCGATGGCGCTCTGTCCCAGCTCCTGTGCTGCAAGGAAGGCTCCGTGAGCGGCGGGAGGAATGCGCGGGTTCTTTTGTTACTCTGATAAATCCCTCTGATCTCCTGCCACGTCTGCACCTTGGTTTGGGCCACTTGTTTTCTGATTTCTGCATCTGGCCCTCCAGTTGTTGGTACCCATTCAGCAAAGCTGTGCTTTAAGGAAGAGCACATGTGGTTTCACTCAGATTTGTTCAAGGAAGGCACTACTCACTTCTTCAGAGCTCCAGAGGCGTTAGCCACATTAGTCTGTTGCTGCAAAATAGTAAAAAGCTCAGTGGCACCTTTAAAACGAACAACCTTTATTGCAGCATAAACTTGAGAAACACAGCTCTCTTCGTCAGATGCCTCTGACAAAGAGAGCTGTGCTTCTCGAAAGCTTATGCTACAATACAGTTTGTCCGTCTTAGGTCCAATCTGCATTGGTCTTTCCGGCCGCTGTGCTGGCGATCCCACACTGTTTCACAAACTTCTGTCTGCATCTCATCTCGCATCGGGTCTCCTATTGTTTCGTCTCAGCATCGTCTGTCTGCGTCATCTTATTGCCCTTTAATGGCGACTCTGAGGTCACTACGCTGCCTCACTGCATTATCTAGATTTGGCTTTAAGATGGTCCAATTGCTCCTCCCCGCCCTCGAACTGTGTCATGCCTGCCCCCAACCCGGCGCCTGGGAGCTCTGAAACGGAGGACTCCGTGCCTTTAACACCATCGGAGGCACGGGAGTCTTTGCCAAACTTAAGTACCGAAAAGGATGAGCACCAGCCTCCAGAACAGCCTGCACCTGAAACCGATCAGGCGGTGCCTGGCCCCAGCAGCACGCCACCCGATTCTCCACCACCTGTCAACCGCTGAGACTCTGGGACTTGGCAACCAGAAGCAAAGAGGCACGCTTGCGCGGTTGGAGATCAATAAGCCCAGAGTTCTAGCAGGATCAAGGACTTCGCGAGGCAGTGCTAATGAGACTCTAATGAGTTAACAACCCAGCAAGCTGTTTGAATAGGTCGCTGACTGCTGGCTAATCGTGCTGGCAAACCCGTCCTTCAGACCAGAAGCTCTGCACCTCTGACTCTGTTCTGGTATCTGGCTACTGACTGACTTCCTGGGTCCTGACTCCAGTCCGCGTTTTGACGACTCCCTGGCTCTTGATCCTCGGCTTTGCACCCTGACTTCGACACTTGCGTATCTGGACTCTGACTCTCGGTAACGCTCTGACTACGGCCTGGCTTTATGTATTGGGACTGTTGCTCTGGTTGTTTTGCCCTCTCTCTGGCTTGACTCTCGGACTGGACTGTGAACTCCCCCTCTCTGCCTTGCCCCACTGGCCCTGTCATGACACGCTGTGAGCAATAAGCAGACAACAGAAG